AAAGGATCTTACAGGACAGGGAAGACGACAAATGGTGCTGTCTCTGCAGGGACACGCACTGGTTTAGTGTTTCCTCCAGCCCTGCCTTAAACTCTCAGCTCATGACTGGTGTCCACTGGGGAGGGACACAGACGGTACAGTGGGGAGGGGGTGGGCTCTGGGTGGATCTGCGGGGACAGAGGCGTCCCAGGGAACGACTTGACCCCGACAAGGCTGGCCCTGAGTCCACCAAGCCAGGGCCTTGGCAAGTGACCTCGTAAAAGGGCAGAGCACTGCATGAATGGTGGCCTCCCGAAAGATCTGCACTCTGGGACCCTGGGAACGGGACCTTATTTAGAAAGTCTCTGCAGATGTAATTAGTTACGATTCTCAAGATGAGGTCACCCTGGATTACCCAGGTGGGCCTGAAGTCTAACGACAAACGTCCTTATAAGAGACACCCAGGAGGGACACACGGAGAAGGCAGCCATGTGAGACAGGGACACGACTAGTGACGAGGGACAGGGAAGACCTGCGGCCACCAGACGCTGGAAGAGGCAGGAAGGAGCCTTCTCTGGAGTCCGCAGAGGGAGTGGCCCCCAACACCTTCATTTCAGACCTCTGGTCTCCAGAGCCAGGGGGTCATTTCTGCTGTGGGTAGCCACCCAGCGTGTGGCACTTTGCTAAGCAGACACAGGACGCTCACATGGGCAGCAGACAGGAAGTCTGCGTTTCCTCCCAGCTGCCCATCCCTACTGAAAGAAAGAGCTCCTTCGGGCCGGGCCCTAGCCACGCCAGAGGCCTCCTCAGCTCTCCTCGACCTGAGGAGCGCGCGGTGAAAATCCTCAGACATCAGGACAGAGATTAAGTCTCGGTATTTCTGCTGTATTTCCAGTATCTCCTCTGCAACATGTTTTCACATCCGTGAAGTATTCTGAGGGCCTTCAGTTACACCAGGCTGACAACGAAAGCGCAGCCATAAATAGTGAACAGGCTCGTTCCAGCTCCGAAGGTCACGGAAGACTCCTCTTCTCGCCGTCTTCTCACCTCATCTATTTGCTCAGCGGGGGTGCTAGTTTCCTGCTGCTGCTGAAACAAGTTAAGCTTCTCAGGAGTCTCCCGTTTATTATCTTACAGTACTGGATGGCAGGAGCCCAACGTTCAAGGTGTCTGTAGGGCGGCATTGCTTTCAGAGTCTCTAAGAAATGTGTGTCCTGGTCTTTTTCGGCTTCTAGAGGCCACCTGCCAACTTGAGCTCACGGCCGCTTTCGTCTTCAGGCCCGGACGCATAACGTAGCATCGCTCTCTCTCCCGCCTCTGCTTCCATCACATCTTCACACTGCCTCCTCCTGTAAGGACCCTGGTGGTGGTGACACTGGACCCACCTGGGTCATCCCGGATCATCTCCCATCTCAAGATTCTTACCGCAGCCACATCTGCAAAGTCCCCTTTGCCGTGTAAGTAACAGTCGCAGGTTCCAGGGATTAGGCTGTGCGCGTCTTGAGGGGCCACTATTCTGCCACCCACAACTGGACGTGATGGGTCAAGGGTGTAACAGAGCATCACAATGGGAGACGTAACGAAGGAAACCTGAGACTCAGGTGTGCGTAACGCTGCAATGAGAGTGAAGTTAACGAAACAAACTGAATATGAAAACTGCTCAGGAGTTTTATACGTAGCTAATTACTGCTATAGGTTTAAGAATGAAGTCACAGGGCTCGCTTTGGCCAATGGGACATCAGCACGCAAGGCGCAAGCAGGAGCTTGTCCAATGGGGCGTGTCCTTTCGGATCATGCACTTTGGGGGCCCTCCTCAGGACCCAATGTCCATGTCATGAGAAGCTAACCTCACGACTAAGGGAAAGCAAGTGAGAGAACACAAAGGATCCGACCGTTAGCCCTGCGCCCCCAGCCTCACCGCCTCACCCGCCGTGTGAGAGGGTCACCTTGGAAGTGGACCTGCCAGCTTGAGAGGATGGTCCCGTGGAGCACAACCTGTTCCTACTGAGCCCTGTCCAAATCGGAGTCCTGATCAAATAAATGATGGTTGTTCTGTTGGCTGCCAAGGTGGTTGGTTTCTTGTTTGCATGCTTTGTGGCTTTTGGTTTTTTGTTTGTTTTGCCACCAAGGTGGTTTTTCTTCTTTCTTTTTGGAAGGTGGGGGAGGAATTGGGTGTTATGAAAAAAGAGATGAACAGAAATGACCTCTATTTTTTATATTCTCGCCCTTCTTTCTTTTTTCCTATACACCTGTCATTAAATACTATATTAGTTGGCCATTGCTAGGTAGCAAATTACCCCTAGGGACTTAAAACAACAAACACTTTTTGTCTCAAAGATCCTGTGGGTCAGGAACCCAGGCAGGGCTTAGCTGGTGTCTCTGACCCAGGGTCCCTCACAGGCTGCAGTTGCGTATCGGCCAGGCCAGCCGCCAACCCCAGCTCCACGGGCAAGGGTCTGCTTTCAGCCTTGCGCACATGGCGATAGAGGGACTCAGGCCCACTGGCTCCTGGCCAGAGGCACCATCTCTTGCCACGTGGGCCTCTCCGTAGGGCAGCTCCCAACAGGGAGGCCATGGCCGTGTGGAGGACAGCCGCCCTGCCGGTGTAGCCCAGTCAGGCTGTGGCTAAGAGAAACAGTCATCTATCTTATCTTTATTTGGGGTCTCCCTGTTTAAGTGATTTCACATTTACCTTAATACAGAACTACTTGGTTTTTAATTTTTTACCTAAAAAGTGTAAGTACATGTATTTAAGTTTTTATGTTAAAAAAGCAGTGAAACTTAGATTTGGGGTGCAATAGTCTGATGATAACGCATGCTATGTAATAAGGTTCTTCTGTACTTAGCATAGCCCTGGACCAAAATAGTATTACAACAGATTTCCTAGAAACTACAGAAATTGGATACGGAGTCATTTTAGAGCCAAAGAGAATGAACATATGGCTGCAGCCTTGGAGGGCAGGCAACATTCTTTCTGTAATAAAGGAATAGTCGTCACGTATCTGCATCTTCTTGGCAACAACTGAAACTCAGCCAAAGGCTGAGCGAAGGTCCCAGAAAGGAAAGAGGCAAGCGTGGGAGAGCCCCACCATCGCTGGTCCCGGAACACGAGCTCAGCGGATGGACCACAAATCCTGCAAACAGCCTGCCCTCAACAGATCCAACAAATGGGCCAGGGTGGAGGGAACAGAGTCCGAGGCCACTCTGAGCTCAGGTGCTTCTCTGTACAGAAACACGCCGGGTGGTCTGCGAGGATGGTTTCACACCTGTCCCATGCAAGGGCTCAGCTCCTGGGCCCTCAGCCGGCGGCCAGAGCTCCTTGTGGTGGAGTCCGGCCCTTCTCGCCTCATGAGCTCTGCCCATGTTAACATCCGAGTGTGGGACGCAGTGTCTGGACGACACTCAGAACGCCCTCCGCTGGGGTGACCGCCAGCCTCTCCAGGGTCTCACATAATTGACACTTCCCTTCTGCCCTGTCACAATGTCATTTTGAGCCATTTCTCTCAGCCACTGCTAGATCCACGCATGCTTCCTCACACACCTAGACTCGCTGTGACATGGTGTCGCTTATGTGAGTTCAGGGGAGCACTGAAAGGTCCACAGACCGCCTTCCTGCAAACTCACGAGGACGGCGTGCTGCTGATCTTAGCTGCCGGCTGGCTCAGACTTCCCCACTGGAAGGCCCAGACACGCCTCGGACCCAGGACGCGACCACCTGAATTCACTCTGCCTTCTGCGGGCCCTCTGACACTGCCCCTCGAGGGCCTCCTTTCAGTTAACACAGTCGTTACTGGAGTCATCCTGGCGCCGTATCATCTCCTTTGATGGGCTGCTGCTCATCACCCCTGCCCACGGGCACCCAGCTGGCCAAGTCCCGTGCTGACTGGGAGCTGCCCGCCCTGCTCCTCAAAACGCAGACCAACCGACCAACCCACCAGCAAGTCCGATGATTTCGACACCCAGCTCTAACGCATCACTGTGCCACCACGAGGCGCTGCAGCCTCCTCGTGCCCATCTCCGGCTCCGAAACAGGAAGGTAGTTCCCAGAGCTCCCAGGGCTGCGGTGAGGACCACCTGAGCTGACTCATGGGAACGGTGTCTGGGAAGGAAGGGGTCCGCCAGCCAGGACCGAAGCCCCTCAGCAGCAGCTGACGGGGGCGGGGAAGGCGCGGGAAAACCAACGAAGAGAAGAACCGCCGGCTCCAGGACCTACTGGACTGGGGCGTCCACTCACCCAGAAGGAACCATGTCCCCATATGGGAGACCTTTTCTTAGGTGGTTTTGGAGAGAAAGGAGTAACAACGAGGTAGCAACTTCCTACGGGGCCTGGCCCCGAGTCTTAGCAAGTAAGGTCTCCTTGGAAAGCAACGGCACGCACAAGCCCCCCGTTCCTGAAGGGGTCGGTTAGAAGACGAGAGCTGAGCTGGCCCTCACTCCACTAACCACGCCTGCGGTCTCACGTGACACAGACCCGACACTGCTACGCACTGGTGACGTCAGAGTCCTCAGAGAGCGTTCCAGGATCTAAGCAGGCCCAGGGTAACTCAGAGGACGCGATCGACACTGCAGGTTCCCGGGCAGCAGCATAAAGCCTCCGACTCCATAGGTCTGAATCAGGCCCACCTTTCTAATAAATGAGGCCAGGTCATCTGATGCAGGTAGCCCGCAGGTGACCCTTGCGAAGCGCCGCACCAGGGCCTGGGACTCAGAGTGCGGCCCACACACGCAACAGCACCGCCCGAGCGCACCAGACGCGCAGCAGGGCCCGTCGGAAGCCGCCGCGTCAGACTCTGCCATCGATCACAGCGCCCGCGCCACCGGTCGGCACGCAGCAGGCAAAGGCAGGGCCTGCGGGCGCTCTCCACAGTGCCCCCAGCTGCCTTCTTCAGTACCTGCCTGCCCTCCACCAAGCGGTGCCCGGAAACCAGGCTGCTGCATTTTGCTTTAGCTTTTCCTGCCTCAATGCTCAGAGAACAAATGTCATGAGTATTACTCACACTTATAAAAATAATTACATGGAATAAGTCATGTAAATACTGAAGATTTTATTATGTCTTAATGAAATCCATGTCACAGTTACATTGAATACATTCTATGCACTGTACTTGAAAATATGAAATAGAAAACCAATTCAAGTACTTCTCATATAACCAATATTTTTAAATTTTTCCTTTTATTTATTTTCTTTTTTAGCTTTCTTTGACACTATAATGAAATGGAACAGAAAGAGTACATAAAAACAAAAGTATCAGGCAGAATTTTTAAAACCTTGCACTTTACCTATCACATTGAGTATCTCCAAGACTATTCCCCGTGGAGAGCAAAACGCATTGCAAAGCTGCAGGGTCACCAGCCGTGGGAAAGCCTGAGGACAAACAGACGCAGGTCCGGGACAGAGGGCCCACAGGTGCACAGCACGGCTCCACAAGCCCTCCAGGCCCTGCCGCTCCCGAGGCCAATGACAAGGACAGGAGGCTGGAGGAGCGGTCCAGGCCCAGGCAGGCAGCGCCGGGCCGCTCAGTCAAGCTGTCTGAAGGTCAAGGCGATTCAGAGGACTTGGAGTGTCTTCACACAGGGAGCATGAGTTAGGAAGGGGGGTGGTCCTCCCCTCGGATGCTTCGATACTTAGCCATGTCTTCTGGAAACACTTTAGAAAGTTCTTGAATCAACAGGCTTTTAAATTTCTAAGAAGAAAAATATACTGTCAAAATATGTTTGCTTGTAACCCATCACCCCAGTTAAAGACACCTGCACCAGAGCCATCCAAAGGGACGTGCTCTGCCCCCACGGACGCTGCCGGCCACTCAGCTGCTGCCCACTCACCACCCGTGGACGCAACACGCTTGCATCTACAGTGCAGGTACAGTAAGACTACCTGAAAGGAATCCCTGCCCAAATACAACTTCCTCTCCCCTGCTTCCAAGTAAAAATCGCCCCCTTGTAGGGAGCCAGCCACACAGGTGGAAATGAGTTTTGCAGACAGCGCACGTAACAGGAATCTTCAAATATTTTTAATGAAGCAATTATTAACTCGAACCACATCACACTCTCTGTGTGCAAACAGCTCGATCAAAGCTTTCAGAGCAGCTGGAAGCTGGAAACCTGTCTCCGCCAAATGCCATGGCTCCCAATCCTCCCTCAGCATAACGCTGGTTTTACTCCAGTCTTACAGGCAGCTAAGTACCTGCCAGCATCTCACAACCTTCTAAGCTGCAGTAAGAGGCACTGTGGATACTAGGCAAGACACACACAGAGTTAGGACACACTCTCAACGGAGACCACGCTGGGACACTCCGGAACTACTCACGATGTCCTTGGGAAGTTTAAACACACGGCCCACTGGACAAGCGAAGGCCATGTAGCTGCGCCGTGACTTTCACAGGTCTCAGGTGAGAGCAGACACTGACACCAGGTGCATCGTCCCTGAGCAGCACCCACAGGACATGTCTGTGCCACCCGCACGCCCTGGCGTCACACAGAAGCACGGCGGGATGGAGCAGAACACGCATGGACCACAGCCCTGTCCGTACAGAGGTGGTTTCTGCTGGGCAACGCAACTCACCAACAGTGCAAAGGCCACAACCTGCCACTGACCAAGCTGTATCGTGTCCCGAGGATGATGCGGACTTCAACAGCCACTCAGTCCCAACCTGACGCAACAGTTACGGCAAACACCACCTCAGGGCCCACTGCCCAGCAGTACACATCGCCTGCGACCTCGGGGAGCCCCGCGACCCCAGGGCACCACGGGACGGCCGTCGCTGTCATCCTGACAATGTGTTCCGCGCACCCTGAGCCCTCAGAGGTCCCATCAAACACCAGCTGGGCACACCTGTGGGCACCGAGCATCAGAGGAACAGAGCACTCAGGCCCCGAGACCTGGGAGCACACGCTTCACAGAGGAGATGAAGAGAGAAAAAGGAAAGTGCTAACGCTCTCAGCAAAGGAGCTGAGGAAAGGCTGGTCCCCCAAGGCCTTCTGAGGAGGTGACCTACGGTGACCCGAAGGACAGTCAGTGCACAGAGAGCACGCGAGAGCTCCAGGCAGAGGAGACAGCACGAGAAAGAACAGGCAGGAAGCAGGCAAGGGGCTGCCGACCTCCAGGAATGGAGAGGAGGCCAGCACGGCCGGGCCAGAGGGAGGGACACGGCTGGAGAGGCAGGAGGGCTCGGAGCATGAGGCCAACAGAAACGGGAGGCTGGCAACGGGGTGGTGCCTCCGGTTCAAGGAAAAAACACCACCCCCCAACTGGAACCATATCTGAGTTCATTTAAGTAAGAAAAAAAACGACGTATTTCATGTTCAAGATGCAGTTTCTAGATCTCATCACAGCAGAGAAGCCAAGCCAGTTCTCCGTGGAGAGCTGCGTGAACAGGGGGCAGGTACAAAGGAGTCTGGAGTCAGAGGCTGCCCAAGAGAACAAAGATTCAAGGACCCTCCAAACCAAAGAACCAAAATTACAGAAAAGGTCCAACAGACGGCATCAGAAAGCACCGAAGCGCAAACCTGAAGTATTCAAGTTTTAAAAATGAAAACAATCACAGTTAGCCAACGACAGCTAACAATCACAGAAACTAACCTGGACTTCCCTGAAAGTAAGGCTGCCGTTTTTTACATTGTTTTATGCTATCATCACAAAGCTGATACTTCACTTACTCCCCATTAAGCAATTCAGAAATCGCAACTGCGTAACATTACAAAAACGGCTGACGTTCTACCCAGTGTGGAAAAGACAGACACAGTCTGGGTGAGGATTTCTTTCCTTTCTGACATCGCTTTCTGTCTACAGGAGCTTACCTTCATCGTGTCAATCTTTCCTTTCACTTGTTCGTTTTTTGCCAGAGCCCTCTCCAGGCACTCTTTGGTGTACAGTTGCGGGTTTCGACCTTGATCTATGTACCTGGAAACAGGAAACATTTCAATTAACACTCTCATGGCTGATACCTATTCTCAGTGTTCTTATGGAAAGAAGAAAAAAGTTTGCTATATATAACTTCGCATGGCCCTGTGCAGACAAAACTGTCCAGGAGCCGGGTGAGTTAGGAGGCCTTCATTTATACAGGTCCAGGTGATGCGATCTCACGTCACTTCTAGAACATGATCGACTCGTGACGTCAGGTAACAATCGCTCACGAGCCCCACAGCCACCCACTTCACCTCCCACACACTGGTGATTTTCAAAGGCATGTGCCCACGACCTTCTCCGTCTCACAACAGCTGTGAGGTCGGGGAGCTCCTGACAAGAGAGAACTAAGCCTGGGCCAGGGCTTCAGACCCCAGTGACACGGGGAGCCCGGGCGAGCCCAAGATGCAGCCCCTACTCCAGTCTCCCATCCCCTTGGGAACCGAACGCTTTATGGAGGAGCCAGGGTCTGCTGGAGCGGGAAGCAGGGGAGCGCTGCAACCAGGAGAGCCGGGCCCTGCCCACCCCAGACTGAGTTACAACCTGGTGCCCCGCTTTCAGAAAGCTGGGGGTGGGGGTGGGGGGGGGCATACCACTTTCCCAAATACGCCAGAGTGACTTGAATTTAACAGAGACAAGATGTGCTCCAATTATTCCTAACCTGTATAAAACTATTTCTTGAAATCTTTAACACTTGTCCCCAAAACGTCTTCACTATCCAAAAGATTTCATTAAGCTTACTGCCTGGATAAATACCTGCATTTGACCAGCGGTGGGCCACCTGCTACCTCTGTACCCTGAACACCTTTGTGTTGCTCAGCTAAATAGAATTACTCACTACAAAGAAACAAAAGCCACCACCACACTAAGCCCAATTTATGTATTTTTATGCTTCAGTAAAAAAGAATATTACCACTTCAAATTAAAGACACTCATAATGGCATTAAAAACTGGCCTTTCGGGGCCGGCCGAGTAGCTCAGTTGGTTAAGAGCTCGCTCAAGAGTGCGAGCTCTGAGCAACAGCGGTTCGAGTCCAGCCCGAGCTGAGCAGCTGCTGAGCTGCCAACAGGTAGCAGGATGGCTCAGCTGAAAAAATAAAAAACTGGCCTTTCATTTAACACAATTAATAAATCACAAGTTCTAGAAATTCCATTGTATTGCAATGTTTTTGAAATGATGCAAAAAAAGCACCAAATTATGGTTTTGATTCTAAATAAAACCCATCCAATTCTGGAAATAAATAACCTGACAGGCTAAACAATCATTGCAACAGCAGTATCCTTCGGATTAGGCTGAGACCCGAGGGTGAGCCCCACTTCCGCCGACACAGGGCCGGCCAGCCAGCCCAGGCTGCGACCCCACCTCGGTCACAGGCAGGCAGCGTCTGCCGGAGCGTGCTGAGAAGGCCGCCGCAGGCTTGGAAGCGTCTCCCACACCGCGCACCACAGAGCCGCATACCTGCTGCCCATCAGACCCCAGAAGCCACCGCATTCCCAGCACCCCAGGTGAGTCTCCACTGACCCCTCTGCCTGAGGCTGAGCTGGCAGAGGCCCCGCTGCCCTTCAGCAATCTCTCCCCGTCGTCTCGTCTCATGTGCCCACTTGAGACCCGAGCAGTCACTGGCACAGATCCATACACGCAGTCCGCACACTCATGGCCAGCACGGGCTGATGGGGACACGCCAAGGCGAAGCGGCCGCCACCTTCCCACCCTTCACAGGCCGGCGGCCGGCGCCCAGGAGTCCGGGCTGTAACGCACACATGACCTCCACGCCCACCGGAAGCCAGGGGACTCAGCGGGGCCAGCTGAGAGCAGGCAGAGAACATGTGACACCACGGCCGGCAGGCAAGGCCGGGGCCGAGACGGGGAAAACGCAGCCTGTCGCCTGCCTTGGGGGACAGCTTCTGAGCTGGGCTGCAAGTTGGACCTGAATCTCTGACCCTTTGAAGTGTAAAACCACAAGAACGTTTCCTTTCTTGTTCACGGAAATCGGCGGTTTACATTTGCAGTTTTACTGCACAAAGCACCAGCATGAGCGTGTGGATCCCAGACAGCTCTGGGAGTGGGGAGGGCTGCTGTCAGAGCAACCGGCCCCGGCGGAGGAAGGACGAGCCCGGGGCTTCGGCCTCAACCCTGACACTGACACGCTAAGGGGCCCACGGCGCGTGCTCAGCAGTCCCTTCACCTGTGACAACCACACCAGCATGCGCGCCCCGGCTGCAAACGCCGCGAGCAGCTACTTCCGGGAGGCATCCTCTGGCCGCTCCTAAGCTGGGCGCTCGGACGCTCCCGCAGGAGGCCGGTCGGCCCTCCCAGGCGAACCTGCCCGAAGAGCCGCTCCCCTTCCCGACGGAGCAGCGACGCCCCTCCCAGAGCTGGCCTTCCTGGGCAGTGTGGCGGGCACCGGACCAGGCTCCTGGCAGGTTCTTTCTGCCTGCTCTTTTTTTTTTTGGTTTGAAATATAGCCCGTTTAAGACTTTTTATCTTTTTAAAGGAAAAAAGGCAGTTTGGCTGTCCCGTCTGTCTAAGCAGGACTTGGAGAGCCTATGAAGTTTCCCACATATTTAATAAGCCTCTATTCACATGTCGGTCTTTCAACGATACGATACTGAGATTTTAGGTTATTTGTGTGTGTTTGCTTCACGGGCACCTCCGCGGGGCTCGGGCTGCGCCACCGCATCGCAGGCCCTGCAACACCCGTGACGGCAGCGGTGGTTACACCATAAGCAGACCACGATTGTACTCGAGGAACATGGGAAACGGTACTCACTCAAAAACTTCTAACGGGACAGTGATATCATGAAGCTGCTGTCGGCACTTATCAATATCCTGTAGGCCGGTCACGATAAAATTCCTGGGGGAAAAGGGAAAAACGGGGCGCGGGGTTACCTTGGATGGCACCATGACCACCACCCGCCCGGCCAACCCGGGCCCCACGCGGGGGTTCCGCAGGGCGGGCGCTCCCCGGGGGCAGCCTGGACCCCCCTCCGCTGGGGCTCAGCAGGGGGCACTGCGAGGGCGGCAGTCACGCGCGCGCAGGGAGTCGCGGGGTGAAGCAGCGTGACTCCCACGGACGGGGCCCCGCCATGGAAGCCGCTCCGCCCGGCCACGGGACCGCCTCCGAACGGCCCTGCAGAAGAGGCGCCGGCGACGCGGCGCCAGGCGGCGGGCCGGCCTCGCGCACAGCCTGGAGCGCGCCGGGGCACCGGGCGCAGAGGACCGGGTGCAGCCCCTCGCCCGCGCGGCGCGGCCCCAGCTCCCGGGCCCCGGGGCCCATCCCCGCTCCCCGAGCGGACGCGCCGGCGCACTCGGGCCGCCACGCACAGCTTCTGGTTGAGCCCGGCCTGGCTGCTCGGCTGGAAGTCGCTGACGATGATGCCGAGCTGCCGGATGTTCTCCACGAACTTCTCCAGGTGCTCCTCCAGGTGGTCGAACTTCTCCGCCATGGCCCCGCACCCAGCACCGCCACAGCCGCGGCCCCGCTCCGCCGCTTCCGGCTTCCGCCCGGGCCCACCGTTTCTTCCGTTTCCTCTGAGGGCAGGGGGCGGGGCTGGCGTCGGGGGCGTGTTCCGGACCCTGGAGCACCGCCTGGGGCGGGGCCTGGGCGCGGGGCGGGGCGGGCGGGGCGGGGCCTGGGCGCGGAGCGGGGCGAGCAGCCCGAAGCGGTCCAGGTGAGTGGACCCGCCAAGAATGAGTCTTCAGGGCTCCCCAGCGTGCTCTAAGGGCCACAGAGTGCCAGTGGTGAGGACCTGCGAGGCCCGGCTCTGCCTCTAGTGGCCCTGAGCAAGTTCCCTAGCCTCTGAGCCTGTGTTCCTGTCCATAAAATCAGGAAAATGAGACCTGACAGCACCTGAGGTTAGAGAAGGTAATACCAAGAAAAGGGGGATGGAAGCACAGTGGGTAGGGCTTGAAGACAGTAGCTTGTCCCCACATGAAAATGACTATTTTTTTGTGGATATCCAAATTAAAGGTGCTCATTGTAAATAATTAAAACAATACAGCAAAAAGTGTAGTGAAGAAAGTGGAAAACTTCTGACCACCCCCCGACACACACAGGCACGCACACTTAGCCCATCTTTAATATCTTGGAGACCATTCTTTTCTGCATTTATTTACACACAGGTGCAACTGCCTGCAGGAAAAGCGCTTGCTCAGCTTCTCGTCTGCACACCCACCCGCAGGCTGTTATACAGGGTCCTGCAGACCTGAAAGGCAGCTTAAGCTGGTGTTAGGACCTGTGCCTTTCCCAGTAGTGATTTGCCATCCCCCAATGAATACATTAACAGCCAGGAAAACTCGCTTTCACTTAAAACCTAGTGTCACAATCGAGGCCTTCTAGTACTAACTGCTGCCAGCCCCATCAGAGGTCTTGATCCCCTCCACGCTCCATACAATGCAGCATCTTCACAAATACCCACCTGGATGAAAATCCTAAAGTTTCCAGGAAGGACCCAGTGAAAGCAGTCTCCCTGCCCCTCAGCTGGAACCCTTGAAGTCAGAGCTGGCCTCCCTTGTTTCCTCTTGTAAATAATTGGCCATCACCTCTCCTACCTCTTGCTTCTCCCAAGAGGGAGATGGCCTCGCACTCACCTCCTCTTTCCCTAGTTCCTGCCACCTTACTAGGTAAGGCCCTTACCTCCTCTTGCCAACTCTAATACAACAGCACCCTGTGGGCTTTCCCTATCACTGAAGAATAACCTCTCCTACTTCACTAAGCTTTTAGTGAGCTGCTATTGACTGATCTTACTAAAGTTCTACTTGGATCACATCACTCTTGCACTTAAGAAACTTTTCTGCTCATTCTTCTAGGACTAATGGATGTTTGCTCCTACAATAGGCTGTCTGAATTCCTCAAGCCAGAGTGATTTCACTCCTACTGAAGACTGTAATATTCCTCAGCTGTACTTTTCAGTTCCTGGACTCAGCAAAACGAGGGAGCTCATTTCCTAAATGATCTGCAAAGTTCCTCCCAGCCATGACCAGAAATAAGAGCCCAGAGAAGGTGAGTGATTTGTCAAACACACTGAATCAGGGACTCAATCTGAGCAGTGGACGGAACTGATGTGGAAACCTCTGTTCCCACTCTGAATACACAGAAATGTTAAATAAAATACCTCCCTCCCGATTGAATGACTTCAGGAGACTTTTAAAACAAGGTGGAAATAAAGTATTGGACAAAAGAATAAAAAGATGATTAGGGAAAGGTCAGAAGATGAATTTAACAGTCTTTCTCAATTTCATGAGAAACAAAGAAATATTGATGTAACTTAGGTTTTGTTATTATTTTTATATTTATTTTATTTTTATTTTTGTATTTATTTTTAAAAATTAAGGGTTTCTCTGTCATTTCCAAACTAGCAGAGAATATATCATTTCCAAACTAGAAATATATCATTTCCAAACTAGCAGAGAAAGGGAAGGGAATAACACAACAATTTGATAAAAGGCAAGAAAATGAGGGAATAGGTGGAGCAAAGAACAAGCATGGAAACCAGGAATCACAAAATAAGATGAAAGAATTGAAGACAAATATGTTGGTGATCACGCTGAATGTAAACAGATTTATTAAGTACTTGTTTAAAAGAGGGATTTTTCTCAGACTGGAAGTATTTTGTCTTGTTGCTTCAGTCTAGCTATGTGGTTTTTCAAAGGCACACCTAAAACAGATATACAGAAAGGCTAAAATAAAGGCATAAGATAGAATAAGATATGTCAGGCAACCAAAAGAAAGTTGTTAAAGCAAATAATATTAAAAATTACTAGAAATGCAAAAAGATTTTTTTTATGATAAAGGGGAGAATTCACCAAGATAATATATTAATGTCAACTTATAAGCAACTAACACCATAGTTTTATGATATCAAGCATGAAATTTTAACAAATTATGAAGAAACATTCAGCATCCATAATTATAACAGAAGATTTGGACTACCTCTATCAGAAAATGATAAATCAAGTGGACCAAAAATATATGAAGAATATGGAAGACTTCAATAATATTAATAAATGTGATCTCTGAGAAACTATGAACTCTAGGTGATGGAAGGAGAACTGACTCTGGGTGGTGAACACACAATGCGATATATAGATGATGTATTACAGAATTGTACACCTGAAACCTATTTAAATTTACTAACAATTGTTACTCCAATAAACTTTAATTAAAAAAAGAAAAGAAACAGTGAACTCTGAAAACACATTGCTTCCAACCACATATGGGATATTTATAAAATTTGACCAATCACTAGACCACTAAGGAAGTTTCTGCAAATTCCAAATTCTATCACATAGACCAGATTTTTGGACCTCAATGTAATTATAGTAGAAATCAATGAAGTTGTTTACTTTTTACACACACACACTTGAAAACCAAAACGCACTCTTTGAAATCACTTATGGGTGTACATACATCTGAATTTGTATAGTTAAGACCCTATTTATGTCTGTCATGCTGGTATAATTATTAATAGCACTCCCCTTTACTATCAAAAGTGTCTCAATTTGGTTCATACACTATGTGGTCATCCCAGTTAAAGGGGAAACTGTAAAATACTTGGAACTGAATAACAAGCACTTCTTATCAAACTTCTGCTTTGTTTCTAAAGTGACAGTTTGAGGGAACATAGCTGGTAAAAATACGCTAGGGTTTCAACTCAGAAAGACAAAAAAATAAAAAGGAACAAGAGAGAAATCACAAGCTCAAATATCATATAGAAAGGAGTGATGAAAGTAAAGATATATAGTGATGGAAATGAAAACTATTTCATTTGTTTTCTTTCTACTCTCATTAGAAGCTAGAAAGATGAATAGTAAAGAAAAGCTGACTGTTGAAAAGATTAATCAAATAGACATACTCTGGCAAGTCACATCAGGGAGGCAAAGAGAGAATAAATAATAAATAAATGAGGGAACATAACTCAGTTACAGTGAAACTTGACGTTTGCACTTTGAAAGCTTGGAGGATGTGAACAACTTCTAGGAAACTACCAAAAATTAACTTAAGAAATAATAAGCAATAAGACTAGATACGAGTCTTTCAATAAATTAGCCAATAGACAATCTCTTTCCAAGAAATGAAAAGCATCAAGCCCTGACAGCTTTTTGCATTAGTTTGTTGTCTTTTTAATCAAACATTAAATAAAAATAATTTGAAACTAACCCAGATGTTTTTCAGAGACTAGAGAAAAAAAAAAAAGAAATATATCCCAGCTCACGTTTAAAGGGTTGTGTAACTTGATATAAAAAGCAGACAACAAAGAAAGTAAAAAAAAAAAAAAAAGAAGAAAGAAAAGAAAATATAGTCTGATCTTCCTTCTGAAGGTGAGTGCAAAAATCCTAAACAAAATATTAGAAAATTGAATCAAACGTTGTGTATCAGCTGACTGTAGTTACATAGCAAACCTCCCCAAAACACAATGGCCTAAAACAACCACCATCTTCTCATTTTCTCCCAAATCTGTAATACGGCTGGCTGCGACATTCACAGCTCGCCTCTGCTCCATGTCACATCAGTGCGGTGGCTGCACTGGGGCTGGACGACCTGCTGCCAAGATGGCTGAGTCACATGCCACCATGTTGGCAGTGGGTGTCAGCTGGGAGCTCAGCTGGATTATAGGCTGGAGACCACGGTTCCCCTCCATGTCCGTCTCTCTGAGGACTTTGGGACTCCTCACCTCGTGGTGGCTGGGTTCCAGGAGCACATAGCTCAGGAGAAGCAGGCAGAAGCTGTACTGCCTTTTATGACCTAGACTCAGAAGTCTCATCACATCACTCCCACCATGGCACATTTAGCTTCCTGGAGAGGGAACGTAAACCCGACCTGTCAATGCAAGAAGTCACATTGTTGGAAAAGCAGGTGAAGAGAAATCTTGTTGAAGTCATTTTCAGCAAATGCAATCTGTCACACTTCATATTGAAAAATCATCATCATCATCATCTACTGGGCTTTTCCTAGGACTGCATGAATGATTAAATACCATAAAACCTATTCCATAACCAAGTCCACTAAAGAGTATAGAAGAAAAATATCTCCAGTAGATTTCGTTGACAGTAAGAGACGTCCAAACCTATAGAGAAGTTTAATGAGTCTATTTAAGTCAAACTGATGACAATTGCCAGGAAGCAAAATCTCAATGGATTGAGAAAATGCTCCCGAGAATGGCAGTTTTGCAGCTTATCTTATACATTAGAATCAAAGGAGGAGGCTAAGGGGGTTACATGGAATCCACTGGGGTTAGGCTAAGGGAGCGGGAGAAAGCAAAGTGGGGAAGTCTCTGGGACTGGATAAAAAGTAAAACAGAGAGACACATACTTCTTTTACATTGGTGGGTACAGGATAGTTAATACTTAACATTTATAGCACATGGAGATGGTGTGGAAGCAACAAGATAACAGTGAGGGGTTCTGTGGTCTCCTGCTCTAATGAGGTGGACTGTGCCCTGAGAGGACCAAAAAAAAGGGATGACTCAGACATTCCATGGGCATGTTATCTCAGATGCAAAGAGGCAATAAACAGGCAAAAGATTGACTTTTGTCAAGGAAGCTACAGGCCAGGGACGGGACTACCTGCCATGACCTCCTTTTATTTAGGAATTTTTATGTTCAGACCACCCTATGTGGTTAATTTCCATCTCTGAGTTTGTAGGCCTGCCATGATGGCCTCCCCTGAGCTTGTCAGATTTAGTATGTGGCCCCTTTTTCATCCACAATTTTTAAAAAAGATTTGAAAAAAATTCAACCCAATTTATATTTTTTGGGTTTTTTTTTTAAGATTTGATTGGGGCATCGGGGAAGAGGAACAGAGAAGTTGCGGTCCTTTTGTTCTTCAGCCTAGCTGTGGAGGACGTCGCTTCACTGGCCCATGTTGGTATTATCATTGCGCTCTTCCCAGCTGAGGCAGATGGGTCGCCGGCCATTGGACGGCTGCTCACAGCGGCTCACGGAAGCTCACTGCAGCTGCCAGCCACACACGGTAGCTTACGGCAGCCCACTGCAGCAGGGGCTGCAGCCTACGCCATCGCTGGCGACTCACGGCAGCCTAGCTCCAGGTCGAGCTGTTGTTCACCATCTTAGCCGTAGAGGGCGCAGCATCACTGGCCCATGTGGGATCCAAACCGGGGTCCTGCTGCTCAGAGCTGGTGTCCCAAGCCAACTCTTAACCAACGCGCCACCCAGCTAGCCCTTGTGTTTTGTTTTGTTTGTTTGTTTGTTTGTGTTTTAAAAAGAAACCTCTGAGAAAACGGAATAAAAAGAAACTGCCTAACCCTAATAAAGGATAGCTACTAACACCTACAGAAGGCGTCAGACTCAACGAGGACGCTGTCACCCCAACCAGTGAGTATTGCGCTGGGGTGCCTGCCCTTGTAGGGACAGTCATGGAAGCAGCACCTGGCAGTTCTTCCTGTGCTCCCTATTTTCTGCCCTTGACATTGAACCTCCTGAATTGTCATTGAAATGTCTATTTTACACCTTAGCTTCCCAACTATACTTTAAGCACTTTGAGGACAGGAATCTAAACTTATACATACCACTCCCCCGCCTTCCCCTCTCCCCCGCCCCCCAGGTCCCAAACAGTTGCAAACTTGCTCAATACATGGTTTTTGATGATTTGAAGGCTACAGAAAAGGAGATAAGGAACTGAGAGAAACCAAATGCCTATTTTCCACTATGAATGTAACTCCCCAGGAAGCCATTGTTTTCTGTGGGGATAGAGATAGAGCCTGGCAGCAACTTGCTTTCCAAACAATTAACAGTTTGACTTAGGGCCCCATCTGCTGGGCCCTCTCCTGTTTTTCACAGCATTTAGTGAGTTGTTCCTGGTTTCTCCTGTACTTGAGTGTATAGCCTGCGACAGGCCAGCTTCTGAGAGCAGTTTGGCCAAAGCAAAGGTCAAACAACAATGTGGAGTTGTCTGCATGGCTGCTTTTCTCCTGCCTACCAACAGTCACCCGGGACCATCATCATGTTACCTCCGAGTAGCTCCCTTAGGGCTGCTGCAACAAAATACCACAGCCTGGGGGCTGCAACAAAAGACATGTATTGTCTCAGAGTTCTGGAGGCCGGAAGTCTGAGACCAAGGTGCCAGCAGGGTCGGTTCCTCCTGAGGCTGTGAGATGCATCTGTTGCAGGCTCACTGCGGGCTTCTGGGTGTTTGCTGACAATCGCTGGCATCCCTGGGCCTGTAGAAGCATGGCCTTCCACCTTGCTCTCTGCCTCTGTGTTCACATGGTCTTCTCCCTACACGTGTCTGTCTTGGAATTTCCCCATTTTTACAGACAGCGGTCATATTGGATCAGGGCCCACCCTGATGACCTACCTGACTTTAACCTGATCACTTCTGCAAAGACCCTATTTCCAAACAAGGTCACATCCACGGGTTCTGGGGGTCAGACTTCCAACATATCTTTTTTGGGGGTACACAATTTAACCTGTTACATCTTCCTTTTCTGTTCAGGAGCGCTACCCCAGCTCTCTGCATTGTGACTACAGGATGTCTAATTCAGGGTCAGGTCGTAATGAGTACAATTACGGTACCAGCCCCCACATTTCTGTGATTTGTGATTAGTCATCAGCTCCAATTTTCATGCCCATAAAACCTCGTCCTTCCCCTGCCTCCTATTTGCATTCACTGGAAAACAGAAATGAGGGCTTTAAAGTATGACTTTTGAAACCATTCCAAATGGAGCCACTGAGATCCACTGAGTACACAGGGTTTTAAAAGCATTTCTAAATCACTTATCTCCCAGTTGTCCAAAATTATCGCTCCATTGACTGTTGTTCTCTGTTGAAACCAAAAGCCTTCAAAACCCCACTGAATATGACAAGGGAAGCAAGAAGTTACAATGGGGTAAGGATAGCCTATTTAATAAATGGTGTTGGGAAAATTGGACTGACACATGCAAAAAAATGAAACT